TTGGGGCGGGCCCCCGCCAAATTTAAAGGTTGCGGAGGTTACTGGTCGTGACGTATGTGGATTTACCGGAAGCAGTGGAATTGTGGGAGTTAGAGTCCTTAAAAGGACTGTTGTAGTACCTACAAGGTGGAGCAGCATTTTCGGGCCTCCAATAAGAGAGCTGAGAAAGAGACTTCCAGAACATGACGTCAGAGCTGGAGATGCAAGGGAAGAACTTGACAGTGCATCCCTGTACAGAGCAGATGGACAATTTTCTGTCCGAGTTTCACAAACATTTTCAAGACTTTGCTGTGCTCGAGCCAGTCGCTGCATTCATGTGGTGCCTTTTTCAAGAAGATGCGGAGGTTGTCGCTCACATCACAAATGGAAAAAAAAAACCTTTTTACCTGAACTCTTCTGGAGTGGAAGATGAGAGTTTGACACCACAAGCCGTCATTCAGCTGAAGTCCGGAGCTAATAGACAGTTCTGGATCTCACTCACTCTCACGAAAATGAAATGTGCTACCTCCTTTGACTGCATTATTTGTCTGCACTTATTTATGTGAGTCAGCCAATTTCCCCACATGAAAATCATTAAGTCCAAGTACTGTTCCACGATGACTGATGATCATTTTGACGCTGTCAACAGCTACTGTCAACAGCTACTATCTGGACTATGCATCCCTGGCTGATTCCAATCAGTGAAAGTCATCAGAGTAAAGTAATGACAAAAAAAAAATGTAAGAGTTAAATTGAGCAGAGTTCATACAGTTATGCAAGGTGGAATTATCTGTATGCTTGCTCGTTATCTCAAATCTTTACTTGTATCTCAAAGCAAAAAAAATTTGCTCAAAAGTGTTTCACTTGCTGCTTTTCCGGCAATCACCCTGAGACAGTTCAGTTCCACGTCCTGTCCTCCTGCCTACCACTCATCCTTTGGGAATCTGTCTTTACAACCCTCACATCAACTGGGTCACTGGGGCCGTTCTGGGGTTGAGCCCCCTCCTGCCATCAGAGGTGCCTCTGGTAAGCTTCAGCAGCTATTCTCTCCTCCAACCCCAGTTCTTCACCTGACCTCTCCGGGGGCTGCCTCTCCAGTGGTCTCTTTCAGCTGAGGCAGCCTTACAGATACTCAAGAATCGATTCACTTCATCGCCCAGCACTCAAGTTCTGACCAAAAGCTCCATCCCTATGAATGGAAAATCAAATTTTGACATTGGAAACAGGGAGTTCTTGGCGGTTAAGATGGCCCTAGAGGAGTGGTGCCAGAGGTTAAAGGGCACCGGGGACACTTTTCAAGGCAACAATACAAGGCTAAGACACTTTTCAAGGCAACAATACAAGGCACGCCGCAAATGATCACGTGATCAAGTGAGTGTGTGGCGTCAGTCTGCGCTCGGGATATACACGCTAAGAACTGTTTTGTGAATTTGCCGGTATTTCTTACGTTGTATTAATTCTATTTTTTAATTTCATAAATCACCATGGGAAAGGCAGATAGGGAAAATAGTAAGAGAACAACAATAGAAGGGAATAAAGATTACACGAAACCATGAGAATGTTGTTTCTGTTTCAGATCTGGCTGTAAAGTACGGCATACAAAAGTCGTAGATTTGGACTATCCTTAAGAACAAGGAAGCAATAAAATAAGCTAAGGTTGCCAAGAGTGACTGTGATCGCCGAGCAAAGATTTCAGACATTAGAAGAAGTGGAACCAGTTGCTTCGCATTTAAATTCACGAAAAGCAGTTGGCCAGTGGCAGTATTTCGGAGACAATAATTTGCGAGAAAGCGAGGTGAACGTTGCGCAGTCACGACTCCTCAGCACGGGAAAGAATGAATGAAATTGCTTTTCTTATTTATAGCTTTACTCTTTACTCAGTCGGGTTTATTTTTTTGTTAGATCTCATTATTTTTGTTGGTTTCCTGTATGAACTGATGTATTTACAGAGTCTTTGACGAGAACATTTGGAACTTCATTCAGAAGCATTTTAGTGGTTTTAGATCACTAATTTTCAGTTGTTATTCGTTGTTCATAAGGATTATTTTTGATTTAGTATTGAACTCTTTTGAGTAACCTTTTTGTCTGGTTAATAAATATTTGGATACTCTGAAATCCCAGTGAATTTTTTTTTTGAAAGGGCGTCTGACATCTGGGCCCATTTTCAGTCTCTCAGTGGCTTTAAACTTTAAAAGTCGCTACAATAATGTAATTGCCAGTGGGGAAAACTTCCAATGAATACCCCCTTTTTAAAGGTATTGAAAGCATTTTCAATCAATGGTTACAAAATTGCATCTTTCTTGAAGCTTTGTTAAAAAAAAACACTATTTAGTAATTAGATACATTACCTGGACAATAAACAGGTACTGCAGTACATAGAGTATAGGGCTGTCAATGTCGAATTAGGTTCAATTCAACCTGCTTGATTCATTTTGAAACACAAAATTCACAGTGCACAAAACTTCATGTCCCTGGTGTTTGTTTTTTTTAAAATTATATTTCCACCACTACCACTGCCAACAGCAGGAAGGACCTGTCAAATTAGATCCGTTAAATTTTGACAAATACTGCTAGTGAATATCTCTATGGGTGACACACTATGCACGTGTTTTTTCTGGTAGCAGACTTCGAGACAGACCCAGGACATGCTGTAGAGTGATTACATCTTCAGGCTGGCTTAGGAACCACTAAGAGATCGTCCCTGAAGGTTTCGTGGAATCTGTTGGGGAGAAAAACATACAGTATGTGCTGCTCTTCTGGAACAGATGCCCCCCCCCAACAACTGAGAAATACATTAGCGTGAGAAGAGGAGGCATGATGTGATAGCATGTTTTATTTTTGCACTGCTTATTTTTGCTGTTCTTATTAATAAAGTTACTTTCTATTCTTCAAAAAATTGACTTTCACTGACAGTGCAAATTATATTAAAATATTCATTCTAAATATTAGGGATAATATCGGATCATATCGGTCCGATATTAGCATATAATTATGTAATATCTAAGTAAGAAATATGATGGGTTTTTCCTCAAATATGAAAAGCCGATAACACAATACCTGGGTTTGGCCAATATATACTAGAATCACTTTAAAATGTATTTTATGCAGATTATGTTAATTTGTGGAAGCCTCTAGTGGGATATCACAATAAAAGTAGGTAATGTGTTAATTCCACAACAGGAGATATGTGATGTGACTTAAAAATAATTTTAGAGGAAAACAGCTGCATAAATTAAGTTTGGACAATACCGGCATATCGGATATTGGCAAAAAGATAATATCGGGCACCCCTACTAAATATGTTAACGTATTGGGATGCCAGCAGTTCTCCGGCATATTAACAAAAAAGAAAAAAAAGAAAGAAAAAAAGAAAGAAAAAAAGAAATGCTTTGCAGTATTAAATTTGCAGTTGTGGGGGATGAGGAGGATCGCTGGCGCTGATGGGAGACAGGAGGAGGAGGAGGGCCAATAGCTTTTGTTCATGTCATTGTGAACAAAGAGCTCCTCGGGGTTCGTATGTAAATCCACAGCAGGCTTTAGCCCAACTAACAAGGCCTCATGCAAGGAAAAACATTTTCCTGATTTAGGCTCAGCTTATTTTTCCATTACGGGTTGGAGATGGTTTTTATTGATCCTATTCAGAGGGACGTATTGTGTCGGCACGTTAAACCAACCACTTTCTAGCAGACCTATCCGTTTTTACGCACGGAGCGTACCTACGGTCGACCACACAGATCTGTAAACATCAGTTTTCTTATTGGACTTCCTCGCAGGTGAAGTATAACTTATTATACACACACAAATACTTTTGTTTGGACCTATGGTTACTATGAAAACTCTACAACTCGGCTGCCTTTGCTTCTTTTTTTCTTCTTTGTATAATCATGTAAAATAGGTTTATCGCGAAGGCGTTAGCATTGTGGCTAATACCAGCTATAATTGTTACTGTGAGTGTCCCAGTAAAATAACGCTTCACGTCAAGGCCTTCAAAGTACGTTGAACATTGTAAGTCTGTACTCGCAAATAAATTACTTAGTGGTGATAATACTGTAATAAAATTACATATGTTACAGGCAAAATTAAATCCAATCATGGACAGTCCAAGCTTAGTGGGTTTAACCTAGCCTTGAGGCTAAGCGTTAGCATTATACGCACGATTCTAATTCCCTTTGAAAATGTATTTTTTATACACGCGAATCATGGTCGTGGTATTTACGAACGCCATCTGAAAATGCATGTCGTAAAACCGCAGTCCTAAGGCGATCCTACGGCGGTAAAAGAGTCAGCTAATGCTTTGGTGTTACTTAGCGATTGTCCGTGTCGCGGACATTTATTTGTTCCTGTAAAAGACAGACATTGTAAACGGCACGCATTGGTACTTGATCAAACCACGATAGGATCTTCGTGTAAATGCTCAACCACCGATATTGAATGCTATCCCTTTTGCACCACCTGGCATCTACACGTTTTTAAGGATCTTGGGCAAAAATTGAGAGTGATGAATGTACGCGAAATTAGATTTCGCCTATATGGCAAAAATAAAGGTTTAATAAAACAATATGGTAGATTAAAAAAAAACAGTTGCAGGACAAGCAGTCCACAGTTGCTACGATTGTGACTACCCTTTCATTAGCCGCTAACAGGGTCTTGATGAGCTAATGGAGAGCCATACAACTAATGGACCCCATAACATCGATTATTTATTCATTACATCCCCCGTGTTTGCTTTTCTGTTCAATGTTGGCTCAGTTGTTAAACTAGTTGTTGCACATAACAAAGTCAGAAAGCCTCTAAATTATCAATATATAAAATAAATGATAACATTTGAGTTTGCCAGTGTCTTCAAACTATATATATATATATAAATATATATATATATATGAATGTGTATATATATATGTGCGTGTGTGTATATATATATGTGTGTGTGTCTATATCTCTTAAACCTATATGTGCACATGGTAATGTGTATGTAACATTTTGACCTGTTTGATGTTATTTTAGTACCGATGGATCGATTCTACATGTTTGTAGTGCAGGGTAAATAAAAGTTGCACATGAACTAATGATTAATGATGCACATACATAATGGCGTCAAGTCATCTTTGGCCTTGTGTTCACATAAATATATTTTATTTCTATTTCACTCTTAATGCTGTAGTTGTTCAATTAAGAAAGACTTTTGACAACCAATGAAAAACAATGGCATTGATAATTTTTCCAATGTTCTTGCAAAAGGGGGTTTTCGCCCTTTTAGTGACCAATGTGTAAAGCCATCTTAATACGTTGGGGTCAACCAATGGTTGATAAATAATTTCTTCTTCTGCTCTTCTGGGATTTTTAAATGTACTCTTTTATGTACAATAGAACATGGAGGGATTATGCACAGATTGACTAAAATGTTTATCATCTTGTCACTGCTACTGCATACCTGTGGCTAAACACTAACAAAATGCTCTGTCTCTAGTTTAAAACACTAACAAAATGCTCTGTCTCTAGTTTTTTTTTAAAAAGAAGCATGGTTTAATTTTCTCTGTTGATTGGCTGTTCCTCAACCATCGCTGTTCTTATTCTTTCTCTCTGCATAAATTAACACAACTTGTAATGTACGTTAAGGCTGTAAAATCCATCCAATTTTGATTGTGACTTCACCATCACAAACAATTTTGCCAATTTTTTTTTTGGCATTATCATTGTCCTTGGCACATTTGCCACGTGTTCCAAATGATCTGTGCATCTGTGCTTTGAAGGCTAAACGTGTATATTTTGGTGGAGATGTTTTAAAAAGTAAGTGCAAGTAAAGATCTGAGAAGGAGGAAAGAGTAGCATTGTTTTTTCAACCGTACAGCAAGTTCACTGTTCACTGAAAGAACTTGATTTAAAGGACCGCAAACATATTTTGTGCACGCTTGGCTACTGGGTGGTATCTTCACCACTCCACTTTTGTAGTTGTTTCAATCCATTTTTGCTAGTAATTTATATTTTAATATTTTTACACATTGTAATAATATTATAATTTCAGTTCTTTAAAGGAAAAGATCAACAGGAAGGTATTAAGAAAACTATCCTGTTTAATAAATGCTACATATTCAACGAGTAACCATGTTAAATAACCCTGATTTTGATACAAATTCGCGTGCAAAAGCCAATTACAACTACTGCAGGTTTCGCTCCGTTTGCGCTGCCAACAGCAGGAAGGACTTGTCCAATTGGATCCATAAAATTCAAACTCTTAATGTGCATTAATTAGACGAGTCCCATGAAGTCTCGTGCATGCTTATCTTCCACCTTTTTGTAATCTTTTCCCCGTGCTTTTTACTGATGTTTTTACAGACCTGGGTGAAGACAACTTTTATTACCAACAATCAATAACCAAGCTGGGGCTGCAACTAACAAATATTTTGATTGTTGATTAGTCATCAATTATTTAAATCCCTATCCCAAGTTAGCCCAAACTGTTGCACAGGCACTTAATGCGGTAATCACCATGTAAAAATTGCACAAGAGTATAGAGTGCGTAGCGAATCCCATATTAAAAGTCAGTGTGAACATGTTTGTCTGGAAAAAGTGTAGAGCCTCTGGCAAGGACAACCAGTCAACATCTTTTTTTTTTTTTGCGTTGAGTATTGGTGGCTCAGATTGGTAACCAACTTGGGTATCAATCAAAAAATGTTGATACTGGTAGCAATACTGAAACCTTCATTTGGGTATCAATCAAAAAATGTTGATACCGGTAGCAATACTGAAACCTTCATTTTGATTGTCTATGAAATTAAACACGTATCATCTCTCTCTCTACCACAAACACTTTAATAGCATTTTACTCTGCATATCGTCTCAGTTTGTATCCTATTACGTTTTACCAGTGACGTGTGGTGAGGTTCGTATTTAGATTCAGATTCAGATTTACAATTGTAAGAACCAAAAAGAGCATCTTATTTTACTGTTCATCCAACAGCATTCACCTGGTAATGCTTCATATCCCATCAGCATTCCTCTTTCAATTACACTTATACCAACGCAAACATATACACAGGAATATATTTGTCCTACAAAGAACATTTCTTTTATACAAATGGATAGAGCACCTTCTTGTGTCTAAGCTATTCATATTTATCGTAAACAAATTAAAGTATAGAGATGAATTAAATTTTGACCTTCAGTAAAACATTAAGTTATTTTTCACTTTAACTTTAAATTCTGGTGCTTTTATTAAAGGTTGTCTATCAGGTTGTTTTTCTTTTAAAGAAATCTGGCTTTGAATGTGCGTGGCTGATCTTTGTGTCATGTCTGCTGAGGCTTCATTGCAAATGTTTGAGGTAACAGTATCCTAAGTTAGTCCAAACGTTATCACACGATACAGAATAAAAGACCATGAAAGCGGTAAAAGTAGATTCTTTTCGTTTTCGTTTGTACCACCACATTTAAAAATAACAACTCTTCTGTCCCGTAGTTTAACGCAAACCTTTTAGCTCCGGCGGTTGGTCGGTCTTCCATCTTTATCATCTTCTGTTTGGACCGGAAGTCCAGTTTTGAGAAATGGTTCTGTCTTGAAATACAATTCATAGTCAGTCGGATCAGGCTGCCTCCCCAGCTGACTTTTCTTTGCACTTTATTGGCTGAGGAACAGAAACTGGCAAGCGTCATGTGACCCAGTTTGTATTGGATCGTGCAGTCAGAAGTGAGGCACAGCTTGCTGCTGCTTCACCCGGGATTTCCGTCCTCTGTTTGATTGCAAAATACTCAAATTTGGCAATTTTACTTAATAAAATGTCAAAAAGTGGAAAATATTAATATTTATTTTAGGTAGGTACTTCTTTTTTTTTTATCATGATGACAGGCGAGGCACTGCGTTTTACCTAGTACTTTGTACCCTTATTTGTTCCTTAATGGACACCTTTTTTTTTTTAAACTTTTGTTTGTTACACCCTATTCGTTACTTGTGTGTGTAGGTAAGAGATGCAAAAAACATGGTTGGTTGATTGAAGATTGATATCTGGTCTGATATTGATGAAATAGCAGGATCAGGCATTGAATAATGCTAATCCTTGATACTGATCTATTTGTACAAAGCAACGTTACAAAAATGATTAGCATGATGTATAGTCAGCTGTATGGCAGTATTGAAATGTGTACGTTAAAGAACAAAAGAAGAATGAAAACGCAAGGAAGTAATTGCGGCGGATGCACCACAAAAAACATGGAACATTTGACAGACCAACAACAAAAAAACCCACCAAAGATCACTTTTCAGTACATTTTCTGGCACCATCTTGGATGCTTTGAGCCAGGGTACAATTTGTCATTGCAGAGGTAATTTCAATTAAGAGGTAAATTCAATTAATCAATGGGCTCTACAAGAGATATCTGGAGCTGATATATTTCTCTTCATATGTTTATAAAGAAGTTTGATTCTTAGTTTTTGTTTTTTTTTTAAACAAAGTTAGGAAAGTAGTGTTTAACTCTTGCCTGACGCCTTCAGTTCTCTGCCAGATGGTGAAGTATTGAGTTTATTCAGCAATGATATGGGAGTGACATTGATAACAGCTCAGCTACAAACAAATGGCATATCACCCAAAAACAAGGCTAACTGCGTTAGGTGTCGCTATGATATGGTCTAATAATAATGTTTTAACTGCAGGTGCACCTGCGTACAACACAACAGGTTCTCTCGTACACTTAGACCACATTGGATGTTAAGTCTCCTCCATCATCCAAACGCTTTATTTTTCAGTTATGCACAATATTTGGTTTCTGTGCTCATCTTGATCTGGTTTATTTTTTTAATTATCCTTCATGAAGTGGACTTACTTTTTGTGTTTAGGAAGTAAAAGTTTATAGCCTATTTCTGTCTCGGCTGCGAAGCTGAGCCCCCTTTTTTTAGTCCTGGTCTGTGCGAGGACATGCGAATGAAGTGAAGAGTGAAATTATCGTGCATGCCAATTATTATCGCGTGACAGAAAAAGGTGTCTAAATATTCCTCGACAGCGCAGGAGCGCACATTATTGTAAAGAAAAATAAATGGTGCCAACTGTCATCTGTGTAAGCGCCTTTGTTTGGGCTTAGCAACAGAAGCCTGAGAAGTTGCAGAGCATTCAGGAGGCATCGGGTGTTTAAATTATCAACGCACCATTTACCGTCCCAGAGCAAAGTCAACGAGTGGCTGACAGACAAGGGGAGATGCCCAAGAAATGCATGAGCCAATCAGTGTGAGGAAGAGAGGAGCATGCTGAATGCTGTGTTTGATCTCTTGTCTTTGTTTATTTTTAAATTTTTATCACAAAAATAATGAAAATATTGGAAATAAAAAAAAAAAAAACGACTGTAAAATACTGCGATACAGCGAAACTCTCACGAGATTGGAATAAAAGAAGTCTGCAATTGACTGAGGGAGCTAAAGGAGAACCGCAGCATAGAGAGGGGTCTCTTCGCTTTTACTCAATATTTCTGGACATTTCTCTTCTCCGCATCTTTTTTCTACCTCGACTGTCTGCATTGTCTGCACAGCTACAACTTCAAACGGCATAAAAAACACGAATACATATGTTAATGGGTGCACCGAATATTCAGCCACTGAACGTTTTATCACACAAACAATGCGGCCACAGCAGGATATTGATATTGTGATGATGCAAGTAAAAACCAGGACTGGGGATCCGTTTCTTAAAGCAGGCTTGGTGCTAAATCAGAGTTAGTTAAGTCTGTATTAGAAGAAACTTTGACTGTCTGGTTTTACAAAGCTGGCTGCACCAAGACGCTGAATTGGTTGCTGTTAGTGATGTTCGATACCACCAATTTCCTTTTCGATCCGATACCGAGTAAAATTTGGTCTGGTATCGCCGATATCGATACCGATATTTTATCATTTGTCTTTTAAATTTAAAAAAAGTGTATTTCAAATCATAGCTTCTTTAGGAATCCAAGACAGAGTTTATTATTTATTTTAAACTCTGGAGTGTACTGAGGTAGCTGCCTCTTTTACTATACAGTCAACACAACAATAGAAAAACCTGAGAACACAATCATATGAAATACTCTGAAAACATGTTATTTGTAAAACAAAAATAAAATAAAAAATCTGAGGACCCATTTGGGACACGAAAGAGTCGGATTTTTTCAGTGAACCGAGCCAAAAGAACCGGTTCTCTAAAAAAAGAGCCGAAATTCCCATCAATAGTGACTGAGTGAGAGCACGGAGTAGAGCCCCCTGTGCTTACGCATGACGCACACACCCAGGCGGAAGAAGAAGTAGTCCCACCAACCGAGCGTCACTTTGACAACATCTCAATAATTTGGATACTTTTCACCGTGTTTCTGTTTAGGATACACCTCATCTCAGAATGCGCAAGGATCAAAAGTATCGATATTTTGATTTCCGAATCGATTTCAGAGCATAAAGATCCAGAATCGGAAGTATCGATATTTCAGGATCGATCCGCACATCACTAGTTGCTGTGGCCACATACTCTGTGGAGCAAACCTTCTCCGTGACAGGTTTAAGGTCCTTAAGTCCAAGTTAAGCAGTCGGTCCGTGATCATAAGCAAGCATGGCGTGCACGTTTGTTGAAGAGCCTGTGTAGATTGCGGCTCAGTTGCTTAGAAGAAATGTACGCCAGGATGTACAAACTAATATATACCTGAATTTGATTCTCAGCCCACATTTCGTTCGCCATTCTCACAGTAGAGGGTCTTAGCTAGGAGCAAATACTTTCTTTTGCACTTTTTTTTTTGCAAACGGTAGTTTCCATTATAACATTGGAAATGCTGACAACATATCCAACAACATGCGGTGTTTCAATATGTGCGCTGACACGCACACCGTGTGGTACACGCACCATAACACACAATGAATGATGCAAATGGTCAGGGTGCTCTTGATGGTGTCCATGTAGAAGGAGCGCATGCTGGGAGCCAGGGCTCTTGGTCTTCTAAGTTTGCGGAGGAAGTACTGTACAAGTACTGTTGGGCTTTTTTTTTTGTTGGGCAGTGTTGATCTTCTAGGACAGGGCCATTAGAGAGTACGCTCCGAAGAACACGGTGCTGCTGCTCACTCTCTCTGCTGTATCACCATCGATAGTTGGGGGGGGGTGTATGCTGGTTGTGCATGCTCTCTTCGGTCTTTTCCACTTAAAGGGAGATATTGTCATTACTGTATCACAAGGCCAGACAGCTCACCTCGCTCCTGTACCTTGTCTCATCACTTTTGCTGATGAGAACAGAAACTTTTAGCGGTTATGTGTCTAGACGAACAAATACGCAATAAATCACAAAAAAAAACATTGTCTGTCGGGATAGAGCTGCTGCGTGTGTACATGCCGCAATATGTTTACGGCAAGTGCAAAACAGTTTGCACGTTAATACATACAATTAATGCCTGGTTAGGACGTTTTCCCGCCGAGGTTAATTCTACTCTCCTCTGTGCACCTGGCCTGTCAAAACTGTTACGGAATGGGACAGGTGTTGAGTTGCCTGGGGAGGTGGGGGGGGGGGTTGAGCTCATCCAGTCAGGCAGTCTGTGGCGCTGATAGTGCTGGTGGTGGTCCTGTGGTCAGTGATGTGTTGCAGGCCTTGCCACATCCGTCCTGTGTCAGCAGTAGTGTAGTAGATGTCCAGTTTCTCTCTCTCTCTCTCTCTGTACTGCCTCTCGGCTGCTGTGATGGCTTTCCTCAGTTTATACAGTACTTTGCAGCGTTTTACTCTATCAAATTTCCTTGGTGGAGCTCACCAAGTACAGCCGCGGCTTGGACGGAATAGCCGAAATGGTGAAAGAGATGGCGAAATACAATACAATTAATGGAAAACAACGACCAGTTTCCGGCGTTAGCAATGAGCCCGGACAGGTGACAATACCTGCGCCTGAAAACTCTCTCCGAGTGTCCTTTTTTTTTTTTTTTTCTACTTCCCTCACTTGCTCACCGAACTAAGAGGTACTGTATGTCGGCAAACTACTATGATACGCAGTGCACGACGTCAACAAAAAACAGTAGTAGTTATTCAACTACTAATAGACTTCACAATGCATTACAACCAAAAACCTTAGAGAACTCCCTTCCACACTGACCACATGCTTGCCTGAGCGAGTTCCAGATAACTGTTGTTGTTGTTGTTGTTGTTGTTGTTGTGTAGACACATGCAGATGCAATCTGGTGGGTGGACATGTCAATCAGACCTTTTGCCAAAGGGGACAGTGGCTGACTTTCAGACCTTTGCATTGGTAGTTGAGATATATTTTGCATAAAAGAAAATTGGATAATCGGTCTACCCTCCAAAATTAAAGAAAATCTACTATTCTAAATCTACTAAATCTACTAAACTATTTTGTTGCGTATTTAATAGAGGCAACGTGTGACTTAAATACGTCCAACAAAATGCAGTGTTTTTCCAATAAAGATTAATACTCACATACTGCACTTGCCTTCATAAGTATGTATAGTGCTCACAAATTTAGATTTGTTTTTGTTTTCCATAAACATCAAAGCCTATATACACTATAACATTTACACCAGTGTAAAGTAAAAGTGTGTAAACTGCACTTTTTGTCATTTATTGACATTAAAATGTTAGTTATAATTCGAAATAGGAGCATTGCTTTTTAGTTTTCCCGGCAGTTATCTCGTAATAAAGCTAGTCAGTTAGCTATGTTTCATTAAAACCCATATGTTTTAATAAGTAAAATTGAATCAGTCGTTGAACCTGTGAACCTGGTTACGATGAAACGGATAGAGTTTGGGATAGATTAGTCAATTATTTCAAATAAGTATAAATCACTTTGTTATTCACTGATTTAGATTTATCATTGGAAAAAAAAACAAAAATCTTGCATTTGTGTACAACTATCTGTACCTGTCTTTCAGGCTGTTCCTTCAAGCCGTTCAAGCTGTACTCCCCTAAGGAGACCCCCAATAGTAGCACATTCCCTACCAGTACCATGCTAGACAGAGACATGGGGTAAGATTTATCACTTGCTCTGTAGCATCTTTCCTCTGCAGTCCTGCTGTTTTTCTGCTTATTTACAGTGCTGTTGCTTAAAATAAAGCCCGCCTGAAAGATCGTCTTGAAAAGACAGTGATTGGCATATTGTTTACTGGTGTCAGATTCTTAAAGTCTATATTCCCAAACCTGTCTCATTGTAATGAACAGGTGCATCCAGGTATTTCTTTCCATTTTTTTTTTTTTTTTTTGGGCAACCACTCGCTCCACTAACAGTGCTTGAACCTATTATAATAAAGGGTCCCTGTAATACTTTTTTTTATTCTGAATTTTCCCTACCTCTTCATAAGTTAAGGTATTTGCAGGGAGAATTATTGGTGTTCGAGAGCAGTGCCCAGGGAGTGTGAAAGTTTTCGCTGCTTCCAATCCAGTAAATACTGTACCAATTTCTAAACAAAAACCACAGAAACCGCAGCATTCAAAGCAAACGGTTATATCGGTTTACTTTTGAATGCTCTCGTAAAGCCAAATGTGTCGCTTTGTTTGTACTTATTGGCTAAGTTGTATTTGATCTTTACACATTTAAGTACTGTTGTATTGTACCTGACTGGGTTTTGAAGTAAGGCAGGTTATCTCTATATCTGGATAACATTATCTTCCTCTCTTTTTCTCTCTAGTCCCACCCCAATGTATCCTCCTACTTACTTGGAGCCAGGCATAGGGTAAGACCACTTTTATTGATGCTTTCTCCATCAGGTGAGAAATTAAGTATGGATTAAGTGGTGGCAAGTTTTTTTGTTTTTTTGTTTGTTTTTTTTTTTTTGTGTGACAATATAAGCAGTAGATGAAACCGTAAGTGTGTGTGTGTGTTACAAGTGAATTCTTTTAAAAGGTTGTCCTTGTTTTCTACTTAATCTTTTCATGATTCTACAGTAGGCACACACCATATGGCAACCAGACAGATTACAGAATCTTTGAGTTAAACAAACGGCTACAAAACTGGACAGAGGTTTGTAAACCAACAGTATTACGTAGGACTCACTCACCAAATAACTCGGTAAAAAAAAAAAGAACTTGGCTACTAATGAACCTCTTTTATACCACTTTGTAGGAATGTGATAACCTGTGGTGGGATGCGTTTACTACAGAGTTCTTTGAAGATGACGCCATGTTGACCATTACTTTCTGTCTGGAGGATGGACCCAAACGTTACAGTGAGAAACAGTCACACCCGTCCAGTGTCACTTATTCCCTGCTTCCAAAGTCATCTGATGCAAAATGGACTGTAATTTTGCTTACCTCCACATTCCTCTCTCACCAGCCATTGGCCGGACATTGATTCCACGGTACTTCCGAAGTATATTTGAAGGCGGTGCAACTGAGCTCTTCTATGTACTAAAACATCCCAAGGAGTCTTTCCACAATAACTTTGTCTCCCTGGACTGTGATCAGTGCACAATGGTCACTCAGAATGGAAAGCCTATGTTCACACAGGTTATTCTTTCATGAGCAATTGAATCCTGATTTTTTTTTTTTTTTTTAAAGTGACCATCTCATGTCTAATAGGCTCATTCTTCAGTTTTTGTCATGCTACCTTTGTCCACCATTGCCATGCTAATTGTAGCCCTTTTGACAACCATAGGTATGCGTTGAGGGACGCTTGTACCTGGAATTCATGTTTGATGATATGATGAGAATAAAGACGTGGCACTTTAGCATCAGACAACACCGTGAACTAATCCCTCGCAGTATACTGGCTATGCATGTAAGTGATGGCATGGTAATTGCAAAAAAAACTAGCAGTTAATTCAAATCTTTAAGTGTTATGTTGTCATAGCCGTTTGTTTTAATGCATTATAAATTGCTCTATTTAACTGACCAGGCCCAGGACCCACAGATGCTCGACCAGCTGTCCAAAAATATAACAAGATGTGGCCTGTCAAATTCCACCCTCAACTACCTCAGAGTAAGTTTCTTTCTTGTCCTCTATTTATATATATATATATATATATATATATATACATATATATGTATATACATATATATACATATATACATACATATACACATATATATTTTTTTAACTTTTCATAATGACATTGATATGATGATATTCATTGGGAATAGCCACATTCATTATTTAGAATTTTTAAAATTATTTTAAATGGGTAATAGAGATTGTTAATTACATCACTTTTTTTTTTTTACATAATATTTAAAATTAGCAGAAAGAAAGAAAAACAGTTACGTTTTAAGTTGGAGTCAGGAAGCAGGTGGAACCCCTTGGCAGAACTCGAGAGGTGTTATTTTGTAGCAGGAAGTTTATTCGTGATTTAAAGACTTAAAAGTATCCACTTACTGGTGTCGAGGAGCAGGCAGGAACAAACGGGAATATAGAGACGCAAGCAGATGTACACTGAACAATGAGCCAACAAGGTCTGTATAGATATATGTATGTGTATATATATGTATGTATATATATATGTATATATATGTGTGTATATGTGTATATATATGTGTATATATGTATATGTGTGTGTATATATATATGTGTATATACATATATGTGTGTGTATATATATATATATATATATATATATATATATATACACACACACATATACATATACACATATATAGGCAGGGCACCAGGTGACATGAATGAGACTAATGAACAAGACACAGGTGAGTGTGATCACACTGATTAACCCAGCAGACACAAGCAGGATGGATGGGGGACAGAGACCTCGCAAGAAAGTCACTAAGAGCATAGAAATGAAAAGAACAGAAAAACAGATATTTTGTTATTTTACAAACCTTTATTTTACCAGATAAATGTTGGAGAAGTTTTCATTACAGACAAAAAAACAACAACAAAATGTTGGTTCTCTTTTAAATAATACCCCCCCATAGTGCTATAAATACTGTAGCTCAGAAAAAGAATCAGAAATAACTGATTGATCCCCAGTGATAAATTATTGGTGTTACAGTTTTTGCAAAGCACGTAACAGAAATTGATTATATCAAAATCAAAAAATATCAACAAAAAAAAAGAATTCAATATGGTCATACTTCAAAGTATATATAGCACTGGGTGTACATTTACTGTTTCAGCAGGTATAATGTGCTAAGTGTAGTGTTGATTGAGCTAAGAGTGTCACAGGTATGGAAAGAACCCAGTAGCAGCACCACCACATCAGAATTAAATCAGTCTTGATTAGAAGCAAACAGCACTTCTGCTAGCAAATGAGGCAGGATCTGGAGACAACAGGCAGGGTTACCGAAGCTTAGACAAGGCGATGTCCTAGGCCAGGTCAGGTCTGGATCAAATAACCAGTTCTGGGAAGTGTTCATGAAGCAAAGACAATCTGGCAAGAGTCGAGGTAGTGCAGCTGTATATATAGGCAGCAGTGGGTCAGCAGATTGAAGAAGCAAATGCAGGAGTTGAACAAAGGAGCACAGGCACAAGGAACAGAGTGTGACGCTAAGAGTTAAAGACTGTGATTGCATCACAGGAAAACATTCCTTGTGGTGTACCTTGGTGGAATAATTCTATTTGTAAAGGTGGTCCTGTAACCCTAGTGGTACAGGTAGCAGGTTGTGTTCTTACCTTCCCAAAGGAGGAGTAGCTGTATGAATTTCTAGTGTTCAGATTAAGTCAAGGGTCCTCTACCCTGGTAGGGAAGTCTTGCTTAAAGACTAGTAATGTTGCCATGCAATGGTCATTTTGTGAAAATTCTCCTTAAATAACAATAAAAGCACCTGGATACTGAGTCTGGAGGCGGGCTACGGCAAAGTGAATGATGTCTAACTCCAATAAGTCAGCTCAATGTCAAGACGGAATATTATTTACTTTACTGTTATGTTACTGGTATTACACGATTTTTTTTGTTTGTAAAGGAGCACAGCAAGCCAGTTCTTCTGTTCTATTACAGTGCAATTCTACACCACTTGAACAGCCTGAAAGCCTAGTTCTATCTTTCTTTCCTACCTAATGACACCACAGTCTCAACACAGAGTGTCAGATTCTTCTTAGATTCGAGTCTCTCTGACATATCTGCATGGATAAAAGTCCATCACCTCCAGCTCAACGTCTATAAAACTACTGGTCTTTCCAGCCATTCTGACTCCTTATGTCTTGTCCCTACCAAAGTAGCAAGAAACTTGGGTGTCATGGTTGATGATCAGCTGTACTCCATAGATCATGTTGTCTCTGTAGCCCAGTCATGTTGCTTTACACTTTTCAATAAAAGAAAGATCAGGCCAGAATCAGCCTAAAAGGGTTCATGCCTTCGTGTTCACTGAGCTACCCTAGCTACCTATTGCTGCCTTCATCCAATTCAAATCACTTATGCTAACTTATGAGGTACCTCATTGGTCAAGTCCTTCTGCTACTCCCACCCTACTCCAGAAGTCCTGCTTTAGTCACAGTAGTCCCATTTCAAGAGAGGAGTCCATGTAGCTTGATTGCTAATTCTCCTCTTGTAAATTGATTTGGATAAAAGAGCTGCTAAATAGGTAAATGTAAATGTAAAGATCCTCTTGTAATTGTTTGATTTTTTTTTTTTTTAACATGTTGCCTCATTGTTCCCTCCTCCAGCTTTGTGTGATTCTCGAACCCATGCAGGAACTGATGTCCAGACACAAGACATACAGTCTCAGCCCTAGGGACTGCCTCAAAACCTGCCTCTTCCAGAAATGGCAGAGGATGGTGGCACCACCAGGTAAGCTAACAACACATGACGACACATCGTGGGCACAGTTATGTGTACTTGCGTGGAAATGTTGGCGAGTAAATGTATGCAACTCACTTTATACTTTGACTTTTAGCTGAGCCGTCAAGACAGCCACCTAACAAACGACGGAAGCGTAAGATGTCCGGTGGTAGCACCATTAGCACAGGGGGAGGAACTAATAACAACAACAACAACAAAAAGAAAAGCCCTGGCAGTGGATTTCCCTTGTCAAGCCAGGTTCCAGTGAGTACATCTGAGGCCTCCAGTAACAAGAGCCAACTGTTACATATGCACTGATTAAGGAGATACTTAATTAATTTAGTTGTTAATTAACAAGAAAAACATGCTCGCAACAGATTAAAGATACAAAGAACAGATAAAAATTCCTATCTTCTTTGCGAGTTGCCATTTTGCCAACATCTCATCAATTTTTAAATGTAAAAACCATGGGTGGAGCCAACTGTGGGCGGGGCTAGTCTCTTTTTAAATTTAAATTAAACACCCCTAAAAAAAAAATTGCCGTATAATGAATAGTAGCAAAACCATATATATTTGCAACATTTCTGTCCCCTAGGGGGGGTTATGACAAAAATTAACAATTTACAATTTGCAAAAGTGACTGTTTTTTTTTTTGGGGGGGGGTAAATTTTCTTAAAACCGCATAATAATAGTCCAAAGCAATTACAACGTGACTTAATAGATCAAATGCATTTTTTTTTTTTCTGCAAATATATGAAACAAATAATGTATTGCTGCTGTTCTGGCACTATGCAGGATGTGATGGTAGTAGGGGAGCCCACTCTGATGGGAGGAGAGTTCGGTGATGAGGATGAGCGTCTGATCACACGGCTGGAGAACACGCAATTTGATGCGGCCAATGGCATGGATGATGAAGACAGCTTCAACAACTCGCCGGTACTCGGCTCAAACTCACCCTGGAACAAGGCCCCGCTCAGCCAGGAGAGCAAGAGCGACAACCCCACCTCACAGGCGTCTCAGTAGTGTCCCACAACCTCAACAAAGGGGGGCAAATTTGTCATTCCTCAGCCTTTAATCCAACATCTATAGCTAGCTCTGGAAGCCAACAATACTATTATCTGCTTACCTACTGAGAAGTCACTTTAACACTAGTATTCTACACCATAGGTGAAACCCAATGAGCTCGGTCCCTTGTCCTCTGCTGTAGAGGAAGTTTAAAAAAAAAAAAAAAAGTTTTAATTATGGCACCACCTTACCCGTCCCTTCTCTCACTACATACACAAAATGTCTAATTGTCTAATTAACTTTTGGTTTTCTACTGTGACCATGAATATGTGCGGAACTGTGCACACCTTGCTTACCCACATTGACGTTTTAAAATGGGTGGGGTGCAGTAGATGTAGCGGAGCTTCAAATTGTGTAGAGCTGCTTTGAGATCTGCCAGTCAAATTGTCATTTCATACATGGCTGACCCTGCATTTGCCCCTGGTCATGTTTTTTTAACAGATGTGTGAGTTTGAAAAAAAAAAAAAAAGTGAATTGGAAAACACAATTGCTTACGAATGAGGAGAAGTGAAACAATCAATACCACTCCATTTACACTGAAAATGTTGAAGTTCTGGGGCATACTAAACACCCATCACTCACACACACACCCAGACAAACAAAAAGGATTTTAGTGCCCTAGTCATTTTTGATTAAACTACAGGGGAAAACCAGGTTTCAAACAGACAACATGCAGATAAACACGCAGTAATACATTTTAGTTTGAATTCACTATGGATTTTTCAAGAATGTTTTATTTATATGAGACACATTTTATTTCAATTGTACTTTTTCTTATCTACAAGTTCCCAAAAGCTAGAGACCAAGGAGAAACACAACTTTTATTTCCTCCCCTCTGAAATGTTTTTATCCGATATATGTCAAAAAAGAAGAGTTTGTCCTTTGTTCAGTTTTTCAAGATTTGAAGTTTGGGGTATTTGTGCTTGTATATTTTAAGGTAGTAGCAGAGTTATGTCTCACTGTAAAAATGTATTTTGACTTAGAGTTACCTGAAGCCATCCCAATCTAATGTAAAGAAAAATTGAAAAAAAAAAAAACAAAAAAAAACACCCCAAAAACATCAGTCCAACTACCCAACTACTCTATTTCCTCTTATGTATTTTTCTTTTTCCAAAATCCAGATCTTTGGGAGTACACATGCACCATAAAAAGATGTTTTTCTTAGTTTTCTAAATTATTTTTGGCAGAAATTTATGTTGTCTACTACAGAAATTTAATATTCACCTATTCTTCATGTCTTTTCCATAGTTCAACCTTTTTTTTTTTCTTTTTTTTTTTTCTTTTTACTTCAGGTGAATGTGAATATCACTTCAACAACATATTTGACATTGTTTTTACATTTTTTGTGAAATCACTGTTGTGGACAGGAGTGTTAAATTGTCCACTCAAATATTTTTTTGAAACCATTTTAAAATTATGTTTCGTACTCATACACAGACACACACACTCATATATGTTTTTTTTTAAAGGGCTGTCAGTACTAACACCTCAATTTTAATTTCACTATCAATCTTCTCACCTTTGCTCTAATTCGGCCGATGCATTGGTTATTTGCACACACTGCAGAAAAAAAAGAAGCACCTCAACCTTAAAACACCACGTTGAAGCCCAGCATGCATTTGTAGAGGCATCACGTCAGACGCCTAACTCGCGTCAGACCGGCCTAGTCTCCAGCAGCTCAGTATTTCAATTTTGAAATTTTGAAAGCAGCAGTCGATCTGTTTTCCAAGCCACTGTCAGAATGCTGAATGTTATGACTGAAATCCACCAAATCCATGAAGCAAAATAATAGTTTCCTTTTACACGTTTGTTTGTTTTTCCATATTAACAATCCTCTTGTTGTATTACTCCCAATTAAAAGCATCTTCCTGTCTTTCTCTTGCAACAATTTACGGAAGTAAATTTTAAATTTTTTTCATATTCAGGAATGCACATTTATCTCAATTAATCATGGTTGATCCATAGCTTGTTTGTGATTAATCATATTAAAAATATTACTTGTTTGACAGCCCTTATATATGTGTGTGTAAATATGTTATATATGTGTGTGTGTGTGTATACGCACACACATATATACGTGTGTGTATATATACATATATACATATATCTGTGTATATATGTATATATATATATAAACACACATACATTAATACATATTAGTTTCTGCCCTTGATAATTAATGTACGATATAAATAAAAGGATGTTTTTACTTAAATACATTTGCATTGTCTTTGAACTGTTACATTATGAAGTCTATACAATCGAGTTAGAGGTCACTTTAGGGGATGGTTAATTAAGTAAGTTCAAATTCATTTTCATGAACACTGCTTTCGCCATCGATCTGTCTGTCTATCCTAAAATATATCCTAAAATATATTTAATATCCCCTTTTAAACATACTTAAATACAGTACATGCTTGAAAATACACTGGATTTATGTAAATTAATTTATAAAATTGTCAGATTTTCACCCAGAACGATGAGTCAAATTATTCACCTGCCACAAGTAAGAAAAAAATACATCTAATGACAATAAGAAAACAATGACAAATACAGTGCAAAACAAAATCTGCAGTTGTTGAATGAACTCCAACACCCAATAAAAAACAAGATTAAATATATATATATATAATTGTTTTTGTTCCGAAATACAGTGGGGCCTCCAGATACTAGCTCCCGGAATTATGAGTTTTCCAGGCCTTTTCCACCCCTCTCTCAAACCATCTGTCTTCTCTGGCAAGGATACAGTATGTACATCCCCATCCACAGAGGTGTGTCCTTTGTCCTCAAGATGTACGTAGATGAACAGCTGAGTCCTGCCCTGAGGAGCTGGCTCTTTTGTGTAGTTGCAAACGCTTGTACAGTGGTTGTTTGGTTTCCCCAATGTAAATATCGGGGCAGTCCTCACTGCACTGTACTGTATATACAGTACATGGATTTAAAATGTACAGAAATTTAGTGCTGGTTAAAAATTCTCCTAAATTTGTCAGGTGCTGGTTAAAAATTCTCCTAAGTTTGTCAGAGGTACCGACAACGTAAGGAATGACAATGTTGTTCCATTTGTTGCCGGACATAGATTCTTACTCAACTATATTCTATAAAACCAAAGACTTTTTGTTTATTTTCTGCAAAAAAAAAAAAAAAAGTTTTTCCCTCAACTAAATTCCTTCAATTCAGATATGTATTCCGAGAGGAGATGGAGATCTATGCATGATTAAAGCGTCCGAAATGAATACGCGGAAGAACGTCATCGACGTTACTACAAAGCCGTGCTCCTATTGGGTAATCAAGCGATGACCACTCATATTGATCCTCCCACTTTCTCCTTCAGCTTTAAGTTTTTACGCTTTCGCTGTGCACATTCAATCGTTATTTACTAAACGGGTAAATATACGATTAAGTTCACCGATCATCCGATTGCTGACAGTATGCATCAATTGAGAATTAACATTGATAGACGTACAATTACGTAATTCTGTATACGGAAAGGAACTTCCGGTATTCATCATCGGCTTCGCCACCGGAGACACATCAATCTGGTTACATATATGTCTATGGCGCTACAACGAGAATAGTAGATTTTGAAAACTCCATAAAGGTAATGCCAAAGAAAACTCCAAATCGAATTGAGTCGTGTCTGTCTTCATTAAAAAAAAACACGTCAGTAATCGTCAGTAATCCCCTCACGCCTATAAACAGCAAAGGTTCAACAGGAAGAAGCTAAGAAGTGCTAGCCTTTGCGGCGTGGGATTTAGCTAATGATACTTCACGTTTGATACCTTGGATTTTAAACACTACACTATTTATAAAGAGAATACGAGTTACTGTACGGTGCCATCCCTGAATCACGTGATGGCAATGTCGTTTTCCGTTTAGGAAGCTGTGGTAGCAATGGTTTTGTTAGCTCGTCGGCTTGCTAGCACACAAGTCATATGCCATTTTATGTATAATTTGTTGTTGTTGTTGATGGTTTATCCAGATTTCGGGGCTAAAAGGCGTACCATTGCATATATGCAACAGGTAAATCATACTCACGAGTACTATTTTGACAAATGCATTACGTTGATGTTAGTCGCTAATAAAGTCAGGTTGTGTGCTTAAGGTGCACACCAGATATGTAGGAAGTCCGAAATAACAGAAAGTGTACAGGAATGGCACTCAGAATCCAAGTTTCAGGGCAAATTGAACCACCCTGACTTCACATATGCTGTATGTAGCGGCATGGTGTCGCAGAACAATGGAACTGCCTAAGGAAAAGTGCATGTAATAAATAAATAAATGTAATAATAAATGCACGTTTTAAATAAATAAATAATAAGAACACAATTGGTTAAAGGCGAGTAAACTAAGCTATAATAAATGCACGTTTTAAATAAATAATAAGAACACAATTGGCTAAAGGCGAGTAAACTAAGCACGTATTTTGTAAAGCTGCAAATTAAGAAAGCAAATAAGGGGACGAACTGAAAACAGCATTGCTGGACATCGTAGTATCTCCTTAAAGCAATAAATATGATGTTAGCGTGGGCATGTTTTTTTTTTTTTTTTTGTAATTACGTTTGACTTAATTCTCCTGTAACACCTTACAGTAGTACATAGAACACACTCAAGTGGATTAAGTCAGAAATACCACCTTCATGGACGAAATTGTAGGCTTCGGATAAACAGATATAGATGTAGTGAAAAGTTGAATTTGTTGTCTTGATATGACTTAATTAAAATAAAAACTAGAAAAACCTGGACTCCATCGACAGGCACTGTTCATGAAGACAATGTACCTAACCTCCCTTTTGTTTTTGTTTATTAAGACTCAGACATGTCTCAGTTGGACAAGAAGGCGGGTCTCTTAAGGAGAACATCCTCATCCAAAAAAACCCTGAAAGAGAAAGTGGTTCTTATGTATGATGAGATCTTTTCTGTGAGTATTGATATTGGCAATGGTTACTGACAAATTATTAATCTAAATATTGTTCAGTAATATCTATTTTTTTTTATCTCTGTCTGTGTTATTAGAAGGAGGACCCAGCCAAAAACGCCCCTCGTTTCTGGGATGAGCTGTTTCTTATGAAGGTACAGTGCGCAGTAATGACGTCAGAGAAGCTCAGTGGAATGAAAACATTTGGGCACATCTGAGATTTGATGATAATCTGTTCTACCTTTTATAAGAGAAGATCGCAGCTACAAAATTGTTTTCCCATGTGTAGGCACAAGTGTTTCACAGCTTGAAACTCTTAGATGAACATCACAGGAATGTAGATTGACCAGTAAATTGAAGAGCCTTGCCTTTCAGCTTAGCTCCTTCTTCACCACAAAGGACCGATACAGTGACCGCATTACTGTGGCCGCTGCACCGATCCGCCTGTCAGTCTCGTGTTCCAGCCTTCCCTTGCTTGTGAACACGACCCCAACTTTTTAGCTGACAGGTTATAGTTTTGATTAGCTTTGGTGGACCTTCAGTTACATAGACAGCTGGAACCATCATCATAAAAAAGGCTATTTAACATGGGTAAATACTGCCATGCTAGTCATTGGATCTTTTTAGAGATTGGAAACATGGGGGTCTCTGAAAAACTCTCCACTGACTTAAAAACTAGGATAATTAACATGAGTCACATGAGGTATGCAAAACACATTTGGACAAGAGAGAAGAACCTTGGTGTGAAATAAAAAAATATGATGGTGGTTTGGAGGGTGTTTTATTTAGTGGGATTTTTCAATTCAATAACTAAAATTTAAAAACAAAAGCTGACATTTTTGTAAGCAAATGTAGGCTGGAGTTTTTCAGAAGGTGTGGGAAATTAAGGGTTGCATCAACCTGGGTGGGCTATAGTCAAGACAGGTGTGCTGCTGCTTGGTTGGAACAAAAACCTGCAGCCACCGCGGCCCTTTGTGGACCTAATTGCCCACCTCTGCTATAGATGGTGATATGTGGCACAAACAGCCTGGTCAGAAATTCTCACTGCACTCCTCATGTCTTCTAAACATTCCCTAAACTTGTGACTATTGTCTTCATTGGGCCGCTCTCTTTAGTGGTCCCCAAATCTGCCTCCATGTCATCTAGGACAATGTATGTTTCCTAACCTTTTTTATATATATATATATATATTTATATATATATATATATGTATATATGTATATGCATAAATATATGTATGTATATGTATGTATATATGTGTATATATGTATATATATGTGTATATATGTATATATATGTGTCTATATGTATGTATATGTATGTATATATATATATACACGCATTCCAGCCAAAAAATATATCATGTATGTTTTCATCTTTTGTCATTTTTTTGTGTGTCCTTTTAAGGTAAACCTTGAGTACCTTGAACTCAAATTGGAGAGTGTTGATGAAGAGGTTCAACACAGTCAAGCGAACATCAACGCCCTGTTTCACTATTGCATCCAGGCTCTGGGAGAGGAGCATCCGATCAAAGTCGTCAATGCCCTGCAGGTAATTGCTACTCGCACATTCTGTACATATTTTCTGGTCCCGTTTCTTCTACTCATTGATGGCTGGTGCTTGCTGTCAATTATTTATTTGCAGAGCTCAGTATTTCCTTGTGTGCTCGGAACGATTCATACCAAAATTTCCAATTTAAGGACAGCCTGTGCCGCCTAGTCTCTTATCTTTTTCTCTCTGCATATAAGAATAAGATAATGTAAAATACAATTGCTGGAAAACGAGGATTGGGAGAGAGTTTTCTACTCTGCATTGGCATGGTTTCACACGTTTAACAAAAGTTAGTTTGTTACGCATTGGTAAAAGAATGTTAGAGATGGAGCTACCAGGTAGGAGACAAAGAGGAGATACACTATATTACCAAAAGTATTGGCTCACCTGCCTTGACTCATACTATGAACTGAAGTGCCATCCCATTCCTAACCCAGAGTTCAATATGATGTCGGTCCACCTTTTGCAGCTATTACAGCTTCAACTCTTCTGGGAAGACTGTCCACAAGGTTGAGGAGAGTGTTTATAGGAATTTTTGACCATTCTTCCAAAAGCGCATTGGTGAGGTCACACACTGATGTTGGTCGAGAAGGCCTGGCTCTCAGTCTCCGCTCTAATTCATCCCAAAGGTGTTCTATCGGGTTCAGGTCAGGACTCTGTGCAGGCCAGTCAAGTTCATCCACACCAGACTCTGTCATCCATGTCTTTATGGACCTTGCTTTGTGCACTGGTGCACAGTCATGTTGGAAGAGGAAGGGGCCCGCTCCAAACTGTTCCCACAAGGTTGGGAGCATGGAATTGTCCAAAATGTTTTGGTATCCTGAAGCATTCAAAGTTCCTTTCATTGGAACTAAGGGGCCAAGCCCAGCTCCTGAAAAACAAAACAAAACTGAAATGTACCGTTCTCCAATGTACCAAACCCAGATTCGAATTATGGTGTATATAACCTGAACCCGATAGAACACCTTTGGGATGAATTAAAGCGGAGACGGAGAGCCAGGCCTTCTCCACCAACATCAGTGTGCGACCTCACCAATGCGCTTTTGGAAGAATGGTCAAAAAATTCCTATAAACTCTCTCCTCAACCTTGTGGACAGTCTTCCCAGAAGAGTTGAAGCTGTAATAGCTGCAAAAGGTGGACCGACATCATATTGAACTCTGGGTTAGGAATGGGATGGCACTTCAGTTCATAGTATGAGTCAAGGCAGGTGAGCCAATACTTTTGGTCATATAGTGTATTTGGAATCAATAACACAGTATCTAATAGTTCAAGACAATTTCAAGTACTGTTACTACATACTGCAGTACTCGGAAATGTTTTTAAGCATGTGGATGCATTAATGTTCTAACGAACCTTTTGTTTTGTCCGAATTTTGAGCAAATGTTGAGAACCAGTATATGCTTAGCATCACTTGACTCTTATCGACTTAAAGTGAATGTATACAAGGGAACCCGGTTTTCTAGCAAAACATAATGGTGGTGGAACAATATTAGTTCTGCATGTAGCCCAGCTCGCTCTAGCCTCAAGAGATGGCATACAAATGATATTTGCCTTAAAGTGAGTTAACCTGAGACTATTAGACTGAGAAAATGTGACCGAATGCTGACTAAATTAGGCGTGGGAAAACTAAGGCCCAGGGCCCAGATGCGGCCTGCTTAGCTTTATGAGGGCCCAGATGCGGCCTGCTTAGCTTTGTGATCCGTCCCGCCAAACTTGTCCAAATCAGGACCGCCAAACTTGTCCAAATTATATATATGGTTTGTATTGTGATTATACTTCTGTCTTTTCTCTGCAATGCCCACATTTCCCCTATAGATGGCATAGAGAAGGCTAAAAGCATTTTAGCATTTTATCCATTTTATGCATGACTTTTACACATCCCATTTATCTTAGTTCGCCCGAACTAATTTGTCCTAAAACTCAAATTTTAGGACAAATGATGGCTTCGAGTCAAAAAGCTTGAAAAATGTGTTTGCATTTCTTGCTGTACCAGAATTATAGGACATGTACAATACCATACGTATCCATGTGTGTATTTGTATGTGTATAAATATGTAAATCTATTTATTTGTCATCATTTGCCAGACTCTGTGTGCACTTTTCCGAGGAGTTCATCAGAAGAACAGATCAGCCTCTGGCTTTGACATCATCAACTTACTCATGGGTTTTGATAAGGCTGAACAAAGGATGAAGGTAGTTGGGAGAATAGTACAATATGCACTTTTTACCCTCGACAAGAAAATCCAGTCATTGTATCTGTCTTCCACAGGACCTGATGGAAAGATTGGACAGCCTTCTTTGTGGGGAGGGCTCAGAAAGCCTCAAGAGCCTTTGTCTTAAACTAATGCTATGTCTAGTGACAGTGAGACAGGACACAAAGACAGCAACAATATTTATCAACTTATTTAGGCAGAGAGTGAAAAATATTTCTTTTGTTTTCGCAGGTAACAGACAACATTAGCCAGAACACCATACTGGAATATGTGATGATAAATAGCATATTTGAAGCTATTTTACGTGTAAGTAGTACGCAAAGGACTTGGATTCAGTCTTGTTGTTGAGTTAAAACAATTGATCCTTTTGAATTTATTTCTGTTTTTTTTTTTCCTTAGATTTTGTCCGATGTATCCAGTAAACATCTGCATGGTTATGATCCCGTGGTGCTACTGGCTCTGTTGGTCAACTACAGAAAATATGAGGTGCCTACTTCATTATCTAAATGCAGATAATAAAAAAAATATATATGTATGGTAGAAATCAGGGGTCACCAGCTCTGGGGCTAATGGTATCCCTTCTTGAACCTAAGGTGTCCGTGAAGCATGTTCTAAAAAAAAAAAAAAAAACCCCATAAAACTATTCAACGATTCAACAAATTGTAACTAATTAACATGCCTCCAGTCACTAGATGGCAATAGAGCTGCTCATTTAATTTTTGATAATCAAGGGATTATATGCAGAATGATGGTGCCAGCAACTCGTACATTGGTTTGTACAAATAAATACATATTTGTGCTCAATAGTATTTCAATTCAAAAAAACATCTGTCTGGGTGCATGACAGGAAAAAAAAACAACTGAGAAACACTGAGTTACACGTTCAATGACCTTCAAGTTGGTGCAATTACAATGGTCAGAAGAGTGGCTCGATGGATCTTCTAGCCGGGTTTGATTTTTAGTCACCAGTATCATTGCATGCAGGGGTGTCGTATTCTGTATATGATGTGTTGTTGGCTATTTTTCGGATGTAGAACCATAGTTTTTGGACTATAAGTTGCTCTGGAGTATAAGTTGCACCAGCCAAAAAAGGCATAACGAAGAAGAAAAAAACATATACAAGTCGCTCTGGAGTGTCGCGCCAGCCAGCTAGAGTACCCTCTAGTGGCTGTCAGTGTGAAAATAGCGAACATGTACATTTTCAGTGGTTCAGGAGTAGCAGATACTGGTTATCAAGCCTAGAGTGCCCTCTAGTGGCTATCAGTGGAAATAATGAACATGTAAATTTTCAGTGGTTCAGGAGTAGCAGATACTGGTTATCAAGCCTAGAGTGCCCTCTAGTGGCTATCAGTGGAAATAATGAACATGTAAAATTTTCAGTGGTACAGGAGTAGCAGATACTGGTTATCAAGCCTAGAGTGCCCTCTAGTGGCTATCAGTGGAAATAATGAACATGTAAATTTTCAGTGGTTCAGGAGTAGCAGATACTGGTTATCAAGCCTAGAGTGCCCTCTAGTGGCTATCAGTGGAAATAATGAACATGTAAATTTTCAGTGGTTCAGGAGTAGCAGATACTGGTTATCAAGCCTAGAGTGCCCCCTAGTGGCTATCAGTGGAAATAATGAACATGTAAATTTTCGGTGGTTCAGGAGTAGCAGATACTGCTTATCAAGCCTAGAGTGCCCCCTAGTGGCTATCAGTGGAAATAATGAACATGTAAATTTTCGGTGGTTCAGGAGTAGCAGATACTGCTTATCAAGCCTAGAGTGCCCCCTAGTGGCTATCAGTGGAAATAATGAACATGTAAATTTTCGGTGGTTCAGGAGTAGCAGATACTGGCACAAAAGCCTAGAGTACCCTCTTCAAATTGTTGAATCAGTTTCGAGGTTTGTGCCTGTAGCATGTTTCTCAATTTTCTTCTGCCAACTTCTGCCGCCAGGGGACAGAAGTTGAATGAGTTGCTGGCACCAGCATTCTGAACACAATTCCCTGATTATCAAAATGGATAAACAAAAGGAGCTTCATCTGGGGCGACTTGCCCCACTACCGTATTTGAGACGCACTACTGTAGCCTGATCGGACGAATATATTCAGAAACCAAAGTGTGTGTATTGTATTTTAAGTTTTGTTTACAATGACAATAATTTTGATTGACAAATATCGGACTGATTTCTGTTACGTTGTTTTATAGTCTGTGAATCCATACATTGTGAAGTTGTCCATCGTCGATGATGAACCAACCCTAGATGTACGTATGTTGTTAAACTAACACACATTCTGTCTGATTTGTCACATTGTCAAAAGCTTTGGTGAATCTTTTTAATATTTTTTTTTTTTACTAGGGAATGGGCATGGTTATCCAACAGGCTCTCACAGAATACAACAGGTGAGTCCGATATAAGCTTTTCGCCATATCCGAGATGCAGATATTGTCCAAACACTTCACAACATCAGCCGATACCGATATTTGCAGTTTTTTTCCCGCCAGAACTTTTCTTAGGTCACATCACATATCTCCTGTTGTGGAATGAACATATTATCTACTTTTATTATGATGACCCACTAGAGGGTTCCACATTAACAGTGTGTGATTACAGTATATTTGGCCAATGTTATCGTTTTTTTTTTTTATTATTGGAGGAAAAACCAGTAAGTAGTAACCATTCTTACCAATATTACACAATTATGCTAGTATCAGACCGCTAATATCGGTCAGCAGATATTGTTGGACATATAAGTATAAATCTGACAATGCTCATTAAAATAACGCTTTTAAAGGAAAGCAGTCACTTAATTTAAAGAAAAACAAAGGAAATGATATCGAGCAGATTCGTTTATAGTTACAAATTGAGTGAAGTAAAAAATTGAATTTTTTTTTTTTACCTTCCTTTAGTTCTCATTCTCATGTAAATGTATTTATAAATACATGTGCCTTGTGTTTATTGTGTGCCATTTAGGCAGTTCAGAGATAAACAGGAGGAGACCCAGGGTGGGTTCTTCTCTACTCTAACCAGTATGGTGAGATTTTTTTTTTTTTAAATGTTAGATTTGATGACTTGTTTTTTTTTTGTATTCATTTTGCTGATTATTGCTCTTTTTTGCCCACAGGTGGGTAGTATGTTTATAGCAGATGCAGATGAAAAACTCTCTGTGCAGTAAGTTTTTTATTTTTTATTATTGATTCGTGAGTTATACACGGTTTTTAAAAGCCTGTCTTTTCTCCATCCCTCCCTCTTTTCTCAAGGACAAACGAGGCGATACTGTTGGCACTGTATGAAGCTGTGCATCTCAATCGCAACTTCATCACCGTATTAGCACAGGTAAGATGTTCCATTTCTTTTTCACCTGAACTATAACAGGATATAGTACTTCCGTTTCTTACTGCTTCTAATGGTACTGCGTTTTGAAGAACAGAGGCAATGTCTCTGTCATTGGTGTGGAACCCCAGGGTTCACCTCCTGGGCAAGTTCGAATCGGGTTGGGGCGGTTGGTACCTTCCAGTGGACTCTCCACCCGCAGGAAGGTTCAGGGGGGGGTTGGTACGGTGCAATGTGATTTGGGGGGCGGTCATGGAGACTGCTGCCCCCGCGACCCGGTAACGGATAAGAGGCTGAAAATGGATGGATGGAAATTATTATGTCACGTGAATTAGTATCAGAAAAAGTCAGGTTTTGTTTAAACCAAAAGATGTAATAGTTTTACAAAAAGCAGTATTTTTTTATTTTGCAGAATCTTTTTTTTTTTTTACTTAACAGAGTATCTTTATGTTTATAAATTAATTGAAAATTAATTTGAAAAGAAAAAAAACAAACAAATTCTGCTCTTCCAGTATAAAATATTACACCATGTTAAATAGTTAAATAGTTATCTGCACCATTAATAACAAGGCAGAAAACTAAGAACTATGACTCTTTATTTTTAATTTAGGTTAAGTCAGTGGTTCCCAAACTTTCTTTGGTCCCCCTTTGGTTCACAGGAAAATTTTTGTGCCCCCCCCCTCCCAGAAAAAAGGACACACCCAACCTTGCTTGATCCTTTGCTTTGTGTTTACATGGACGCTCCATCAAAACTTGTCCATTTTATGCTAGCAGTGGCAACTTTGGTCAGTTGGCAGGACAACAGCAGAAACCAGAGCAAGAAATACAAAAAATAACAGCCTACTTTGTAATATTAATTAATACTATAATGTTGTTATCTAATATTCATTTTACCCCTCATTTTCAACCAATCAATTTTTTGCCACTTGTCTCTTGTTAAACATTTACAGCATTGGACAATAAGTTTTGTTCATTCGTTCCATCCGTGCCCTCCACTTTGGGAACCTCTGGTTTAAGGGTCATGTTCAAAGACGTATTACGGGAGAGCCATTGCCAATGCCAATGTGTTTATATCCTTCAACAGAGCCACCCAGAGATTGACATAGCGACTACGCCTACCACCAATTCTCCAACCACACCAACAACACCACTTGGCACGATGACACCAACTCTAGACAGTAAGTACTGCGTGTTTATTCACTGACTATTAATCCCTGGGAGTCTGTTGACATGTATAAATGTCAATGTTTGACATCTTGTAGGGCACTTGACGTAGCTCATTATCCCATGTGTTACATATTTAGATGTGCAGAATGAAGTTCTCGGTTTAGTGAGGAATCATTTGACAGGGTTTTATCTGTGACATTACCTTTGCTTTCTAAGCAAAAGAAAGGAAAGTACGAAATGAAAAGAACCACCTATTTTTATTATGGAGGTACTGCTTATTATAAATGTGTTATTTGTAGGTCAGATTTTGGCAGAAGTTGATCTATTGTCACGTTATTGGCAAATGTTTATAAAGTGTGTTAACACCGTAGTTCATAAACTTACTTGAAAATTTGCACGAACTTACTTGAATTTTATGTGTAAATGTGTACCTGTATGTGTCTGTGGAGTAGTGTTTTCAAAATGAGAACATTCAATTAAGAAAGTTGGGGGGAATAAAACAAACCAACAAACAAAAACACCTTAGGTCATATATGCCTAACTGCTAACTGCTTCTTAGCATTCCAAATGGTGCTAACTTGGCAATTAAAGAGTTGTGGCACCTCATGGGATACAGTTGAAATATTACTGTATTATTAATTAAACATAATGGCTTCATTTACAGTTAACAATCTACTTAGATCAATAACAGTTCATTTCAATAACCGTGTAATTTTGAACTAAGTTTTAACAAAGGGGACTGAAACTGCCACAGAGATTCAACTTCCGGTTGTAATTTAATCAGTAACTGGAGTGCTACAAATACTTGGGAGGTTAACTTACACGTATTATAAATATTATTTATAATATTTAAAGGATATTAGCCAACATTGCAAACTCATCGACTATGTTGGAAACCATCTTGTCCTTGTGCCGTGTAGTGATGAACAACCCAGAACTGCCTCTGGATCCCAACCTGCAGACCACCAATCTTCTCATCACATTCCTGAAGTACGCCTCCATCTTAATGCAGGACACAAAAGGTACGGCAGTAATACATTTTATACATAACAACCTTGAAGAACTCTCAAAGTCCATAGTAACATAGCAAAGCAAAGCATTTACACTGTCAAATTAAACAAGGCTCAGTCAGCGTAAAGTGATGTTCTGTTTTATAGTGTTCTAAAATGACGGAAATGTATGATACAGAAATAAGGCTAATGTGGATGTGAGAGCCATGTAAGGCAGTCTGATGACATAATAATTGTGTAAAAATTCCTATATGTATATATATATATATATATATGTATATATATGTGTATATATGTATATATGTGTATATATATATATATGTGTATATATATGTGTATATATATATATGTGTATATATATATGTGTATATATATATGTATATATATATATATGTGTATATATGTATATGTGTATGTATATATATATATATGTGTATATATGTATATGTGTATATATATATATATATATATATGTATATGTGTATATATATATATATATACCAAAACATATATATTAGGACTGGGCAAATTAACGTGTTATTGTCGTGTTGAGTCATTAAATCTTTGGGGATTTTGCAGATAGATGACTTTGATTTGAGGATATAATGGTGAATATTTCCCTGCTGGATAGAGACTGAAACAATACAGAGAAGTAGACATTAAAGATGAAAATACACTGGTTGCAAAGGTTTTTTTTTTTTTCCCACTTCTCACATAACTGTACTTTGTATCTTTTTCAGTCTCCCTTAAAAGTCTGTGTATGTTTTTTCAGATGAGCATCGACTTAACAGTGCCAGACTCTGCCTAATTATCCTCACCTGTATAGCAGAGGTATAAGCAGTTTGTTTCTACACTGATCAACAGTCCTACATCACTCTTTATCGTTCATCACTGTTTTCCCCCCCACATTCCCTTTTTTTTTTGGTGCGTTCCACAGGATCAATATGCCAATGCCTTTCTTCACGACGACAACATAAACTTCAGAGTCAACCTACATAAAATGGTGAGTTAATGTTAAGTTATAATAATCGTTTTCTTCCCCATGTCACAGCTAAAAAAAAAAAATTCTGGTGAACCTTTTGACTTTCTTGATGCTTTATATATGTCTAGCTTGTTATATGTTTGTTTGTATTTCCCAAATTACCTGAAACACACATTGGTTCAAAATACTTAACTATTTTGAAATTAAAAGGCAATGCCCTACATTTGACATTTTTCGACATTTTATATCCATCCTTCCATACTGACGCTACTGGTAACGATGTAGAAAAATTCATTATGGAGCGTAAACTTAGAAAGCACTTGATATCGTCTTTCTGTTCACTTCTTAGCTCCTTTGGTGTTTATGTGCTACCAGATATCTCTCATAAATGGGTAAAGGATCTTGACACCGGATATATATATATAGAGGATGACTGGCAGAGCTCATTACGTTTGATTAAATTTATGTAACAGATCAAGGGATACGCAATATAAAAAAATTCACAGACTCCATATGACTCCTGTTATTTTACATAAAATGAATTGCTTGAATTGATCACCATATTTTTTCGGTAATCGTTGGGATTTTCAAATTAAAAATAAAGAAAGATCCAGGTATCTTTTGGTTTGGTTTCTGTTCTGTTATATTTTATATATATAAAAAAAAATTCAAAAAAAATATTTAAAAAAAAAAAAAAAGAAAAAAAAGGCAATACCTTATACCGCATCACTATGGCAGGAAAAGCTTGACGAGGATTATTTATAGTCTGCTTTGTAGGGCGGTGGCTTACTTCTAGTGTTTTTACATCGTCTCAGCTG